ACACAGGCTGCCAAACTGCCTCTTCCCTGCCTAAATCAAAATAAACCTGAAATATAAAACCAACAGTTTCTCATTCCTTGGGCATTGTTTCACGGAATTTTAAATATTTCTAGTTGACAGGGCTATTTCAGATCAGAGCTTGTCAAGGATGTCAACGAAATTTTAATCCTGAGAGCTCCTCAGTACACAACCTCATGCTGGAAGGGGATGGTTTTCCAAAATTTGCTAAGAAGTGGTGCTTTATAACCCAGGTTTTCTCAAGGTGTGGTGACAAAGCAAAGGCAATAATAACTTGTTGTTAGCAGAGTTTCCCCAGCTGAACTGACAAAGTTTCCCCTGGAACTATTTGCCAGAAGCAATTTGTCTGTTGATCACCAAAGGGCACGAAAAGGGGATGAATGTTCCCTTTCCCTTCCTGTTTTAATGGCAATGTAAATTACGTGCACATACACTGCCTTATGCACAGTGAATTTTACTATATTAAATATTAGGAACTGCAGGAAACCCTAGAGCAGCTAGGAAAAAGAAAAGCTGAAAATGACTTTGCTTTTCAGTCAAGATTTCCTAAATTAAAAAGGAGGAAAAAAGCTCTCCTGACCTAAACCATCTGTATATACTGAACACAAATAATTCTGAAATTCGATAATCTATTTGAAATTACATAATTGATCCCAGTCAACAATTTGCCCACGAAAACCACAACAACTCTAAATGGGTTCACTCTTCTGATGTCAGATTCAAGCTGAGCCAAAACAGAGCAGAAGGTTCCATCATTTAATCGTTCCGAGGGCTGAGGATCAGACAAGTGAGGCAAGTTGCAAGGTCTGCATTAATATCAACACTCCAATGACCTCTCACACCCCACGGCACAGTGAGAACTCAATTTTACATCAATAAACCCGAGCACCAAACTGCTAGAAACTCAGAAGACACCAGGTATTACAACTTCCATAAATTACAGCCGAGCTCAAATGGCCCGTACAAGCAATTGTACAGTGATAAAGCCTAAGTGGATGATATTTAAACAGATATTTGATTTACTGCAGAATTTTACATCATGCTAGAATTCAAATGACAATTTACAAGGCTGGAGGAGAGAAATCCCTGTCCCATGCAAAGTGGTGTTTGCAGAGCTCTGCCAGAACAGCTTAATATTGGGTCTTTAAGGAAGGAATCCTTCCCTCTCATAGTCTCAGGACACAGCCTTGGAAGCCAAACTATAAAACCTGACATTTGAAAGGAGAATGAACAAGCTGCTGCTTCATCCCTAGGTAGGAAATAACATCTTGGGTCTTCTATGAGTGAAGTCTCATGAAACTCATTTTTGTGGTTTCTGCCATCAAAAAAGAAGCTCTGACGGCAAGTTTGAGGGTCTGTCTCACAAGCTCCTCAGAGATCTACAAACTGTGGAGAACAAACTGTGGAGAACAGAGCAGTGGCTATGATTCTACTGCAGCGTGCCAGGGGAGGCTCAGGTTGGACATCAGGAGGAATTTCTCCCTGGAAAGGGCTGGTCAGGCACCGGCAGGGGCTGCCCAGGGAGGTTTGGAGTCCCCATCCCTGGAGGTGTCCAAGGCAGGCCTGGTTGTGGCACTCAGTGCTCTGGGCTGGGGGGCACAGAGGGGACTCCATGGGCTGGGAGGGCTCTTCCAACTTTAACAGTCCTGTAATTTTATGGAAATAAGAGTTGAATTTGCAGAGGAGGGATCGTGGGATGTGCATTTCCGAAACAAACTTCAACGCCCGAACAGGTCACAAATGAGACCAGACAACCCTCCTGCTCCCCAGCAACGAGTAACCACAGATAAAAAAAAAAAATCCATCAAGGAAAAGATTTATCAAAGACAAAACATGGCAGGCTTCCAGCAGGATCCAGGAAAACCTCTCAGCCAATAGCTGGAGCAGCAGTAATTGTTCTGAATCTATCAATAAAGCTGAGCTGCTCCTTCATTGACTGCAAACACCAATTTCTTTCATGGAGGATTATAAGTTGATGCTCATGGTCTCTCTAACACCATTAGGGTGATAAACAGTTGAAACTACATCAGGATCTGACACGTAGATCAATTCTGGGTCCATAAAGAATCTACACAAGAGGTTCCTGGACAGGGATTTACTGCCCCCAGTTTTTATTCTCCCTCACTGCTAAAATTACTTCTGTCAAGTACTTACAAGAGTATGGGGGGTGGTGGGAGGGGAAGGAAAAAGCAAAAAAGAATTAATTTTTTTCATGTGCTGCTGGAACAGCCTTTTGAAATTTCGGGAGTTTTTGAGGCAAATACGTTGCTGCATTGCAAATGATGCTCGAACAGCAGGTGGGATTCAGCTAAATACCGACCCAGCCTCGCGAGCCACTCACCATCCAGAGACAGCAATTTGAGCACCAAACTAAGCTGTCAGGATTTTCTCCAAGGGCAGTCACAGGCTTCACGTTACCAGTGCCAAATTATATTAGGCATTTAATTTTAAACCTCAGGTACTTAAATGTAAAACCTTACCACAGTAATAGTCATAAAGCAGTGGGGCATTCCATTTCAGAGAATGGATTTTTCTATTTTTCCCCTTTAATTTAACCAGCACCTCCTGTTTTGTGGCTCTGCCCACTACAAAGTAATTTATCTAATTAGGAGATGTTCACAGCTGCTTGAAAGACAGAAGCCCCAGGAAACCAAAGGTCTGGTTTGGAAGACTTTGAAAAGTTCTCCGGAGCCACACAAAGTATTAATTTAATGTGAAAAAAAGGTGCAGAGAAAAATTGAATCCCAATATGTTATTTTGTCTACAATAAAACCACGTGACAATAAGCAGGATATTCTCCAGTACATTGGCATTTGAATTCCAAAAGATGCTTAGCTTCTCACTGTACCTGCTGCTTTCACAGTATTAGCTTTTTATGACTAAAATTCAAAAATCTTTTAATAGAGGAAAAAAAAACCCTGAAATTAAAAAGGGTTTTTCATGCGTCAACTCGCCAACATAAAGGACATTTCTGAGCTTACCCAAAGATGATACACTGAGAGCAATCAATTATTCTTGAGGTTCTGCAGCAGCTTTATCATAATACTCCTGATTCTGCCGACCCTTAGTTGCCTAAAACTCATCGTTAGTCCAACTTTCCCCCTTATTTATAAAACAATCTCTCTTTTTTTTTTTAAATTGGAACGTCTGCAAGAAATTATTCCAGTCGGGTTATTCACAAGTACCCCCCCCAGCCCAGTCACCTGCAATTTAAAAATAAATATTTCCTAGGTAATTCTAGCTGTCATCTCTCCTGAGCCATAAGTAATCACACATGAGGGTCGAGTCAGAAGAAGGAACTGCACATAGGTGGGAGTGCAGAGCTGGGGAGGAGAAAAGGTTCCCCCTCCACCAGGGATTGGGAACCAGCTCCAGCTCAGCAGCAGGACAAAAGAAGGGTGAAAAAAAAAAAAAAGGCCCAAACCTTGTATGAAGGGAGGCAGAATTGGGCTGGATTAAAACAACAAAGCAGCTCAGAAAAGAAAATACACAGTCTTAACTGGGAAAAAGCAGTTCAGCACCCAAGCAGGGCAGTGATGCCTGCCCTGCTCCAGAAGAGCAGGATGGACACACAAAAGAACAGGGCTGAAGCATTTCACTGATTTTACAGCATCCCTGCCTTCCAGTGAGCCTGCTTGCTTTAGGAAATTCTTAGCCAAAATCTGGACTATTTCAATGCAGGTGTCACTCTCCTGAAGGTGCTGCCCACGTGTTCACAGCTCCAGAAAGGACCTGGATAGTTAATGCCACTCAGAAACAAGATAAGGGTGGCTTCAACCCCTCTGTTCTAATAAGGTGGCACCAGAAAGCTGCTCAGAGCTGCTTAAAAACCCAGAGACAAAATCAGGGGTACATCCAGATTCAAACCTTACACAGACACACATTACACACTGGCACAGGCTGCCAAGGGAGGTCACCCAGAGGTGACCAGCATTACAGCTCTGCCCTTCCCAGGCACTCCTTCGAGGCCAGAGACACCAAATATCACATCTACCCTTGGAAAAACAACCACCCCTGTCTCACTGCTGCAGTGTAGTCATTGCAAAGCACCATCTGGAATAGATGTTTGCCCCTTTTAATACTTTTAAATGCTCCACTGAGGAAACACTACAGATATGCCAGGAGAATGCTGCAGGGACTGGAGTGAGAGCACAGCAGAGAAAGGACACGTGGATGAAAAGATCTGGAGGATCATTTACTGCTAATACCTACTTAATACTAATATCTACTGCTAATGCCCACCACAGGGTAAGGAAATCAGAATATGAAGTGAACAACATCTGCTGCCCCATCCCTGGAAGTGTCCAAGGCCAGGTTGGACGGGGCTTGGAGAAACCTGGGCTAGTGGAAGGTGTCCCTGCCCATGGCAGGGGGTGGAATGAGATGATCTTCAAGTTCCATTCCCACCCAAACCCTTCTAATGGTTCTTTTTTCAACAGGAAGAGCTAATTTAATTATAATATGGCTTAATTTTAACTTCAGGTGCATTATCACAGAGTCCCAGACTGGTCTGGGTGGGAAACGACCATAAAGCTCCACCAGCTCCAACCCCTGCCATGGGCAGGGACACCTTCCACCAGCCCAGGTTGCTCCAACCTGGCCTTGGACACTTCCAGGGATGGGGCAGCCACAGCTTCTCTGGGCAACCTGTGCCAGGTTCTCCCCATCCTCCCAGAGAGGAATTCCTTCCCCATATCCCATCTAACCCTGCCCTCTGCCTGCTTAAAGCTTTTCCCCCTTGCCCTGCCAGTCCATGGCCTTGAAAAAAAAACCTCTGTATCGATCCATTGTCTTTCATCTCCTTCCTCTCTTCCCCTCCCACGCTCCACGTCTGACACCCAGCAGCGCGGCGGGACCAGCACCGCGGCCGCCTCAGCGCATTTTTTTTTTTTTTCCTTTTGAAGAAAAAGCAAAGCACCAAACTCCCCCTTGGCCCCAAAAAGCACATTGTTTTCCACCCCCCAAAGCTCCAGGTTTCTTACCACTGCTAATGCCAGAGTTTGCAATGACTGTTGCCTCGCTCCACTGATCTGCACTGGAGACCGAGTAGGAGCGCTGGTGCAACCCGTCCGGGCGGCTGTTGAAGGACACCAGACTGATCCCACTGGCCATCTGAGACACAGATGTGCTAGTAGTCACGTTCCCTAGGCACAAATGGAAAACAAATCGTGTCAATAGAGAGCACAGCACGGACTTTGCGCGAGGATGGACGGGGTGTATCTTAACAGAGGTCACGCCACCTGCACCAAACCCTCCCTGAAGGCACCACCGACTTCAGCAGCTCCAATCTAGCTCAGAACCTCTGGCTGAAGAGCCTGAACTTTCACCATTTCACCTCATCCTGTTCACTGCAAACACGATCTTCCTCCACCCTGCTGCCAGTCACTCCCTGTGGAGGGTTCCTTGCTTGTTACGAAAGAAGCTGTGCACAAAAAAATGAATTTATTCCTGGAAACCACTCTTCATACAAGCAACTGAGAGGGGACAACTAAGCCAACTCAAAGAGTTTAAAAGAATCTACCTCTAAGTAACATCTCACACAAGTCTTTCCCCCAAGTGAAGCCAAGAGCAGGGCGATGGGGAGAAAATGACTCCTGGAATTGTGAGACCAAGCAAAAACTTGTTTGGGTTTTTAATCTTAAAACAGTGTCATGACAAAAAGCACACGCTGGACTGACTGCAGGTATCGTTCCTGAGTCCCATCCCACAGCAACACACCCATCACAGCTTCACCTGAAAGCCCATGACACAAAAGGGGAGACACAAGGAACAGCCTTCACCCAGTAAACAGTGGAAATAATTCTGTGTTTTCACCATCACTGAGGACTAGGACATTAACATGCTGGGAGGTGTGTGTGAGGGGGAGCGACAGGGACAGGTTTCTCACCATAAAACAGGGGAAGAGTGAATAAGTTTCAGAGCAGAAACAATTAAAACCTTCCCAGAAACTCGGGTTCCTGATGGTCTTGCTGACAACCTGCTATGGGCCAAAGTCTGCTCTCCAGTTTTGCCTTCTGAGCACATTTTACTCCAGTCCCAGCACAGGTCTTGCATATTATAGGGCTACAAAGAATTTACAACGCTAGTTTCCTTCCTCATGGCAGGCTCTCTAAAGGTGCCCCACAGGTCTTCTGTGGATTGAAAAATACTCTTAAAACACACACATGCAGAGGGGAAGGAAGAGACACAATTTTATAACATACCCTCACACTTTGCATTTCCATTGCACCTTCTACTGATGAGTTCAGAAAAATTAATGAATTAATTTTCAATGCTCCTGTGAGGTTGTTAATTATCTGCTATCATTTCCCCCATTTTTCAGAGGTTAAATGACCCAGGGCCACAAAGGAAGATTGTGGCAGACTTGAAAATAAAACCCAGATCTCCTGACTCCCAGTTCTATCATTATGCCTTTTCCCAGAGCAGCCTTTGGGAAGACAGCAGAGCTTAGTGAACTACTTTGTGTTTATTAGAGTTGGCATAATTGTCCCTTTCTCTCCTCCCCTTTCCCAAGACTAAATCTCATCCTTAGTCCTCACCACAGATCCACCACGGTATCTGTGTCTTCAATATTCTCACTCAGCCTAGAGAACTTCCATGTGGCGTCTCTACTTGGCTGACATGAAATACAGACAGAAAAACCGATTTGTTTAACTGTGCAAAGTCTGAAGTGGATTTTGGAACCATGCTGGGACCTCCCAAGGCATGAGGGTTCAGAGCAGAGGATTGAATTGTAGCTCAGCGCCTTAAAATCACAATAGAAAACAGAAACAGAAGCTGACAGTACATATATTTTGAGGTCTCCTAAAAGAAATGTCTCCTTCCAAAACCTCCATGATGCTGTTGATGCTCACCCTTTTCCTCTGTTTTTTCAAAATCCAGAAAAAGTATAAACATGATTAAATTATTGTGATGATCCCCCAAATGAAAGGGAAGTGGCAGATGGGAATGACAGAGCGTGAGACCAAATGCACTCTAGAAACTCGAGATTTAGGCCAGCACAGACACAACAATAAGCAGTGGTATTTCTATGCTGGCATCTTCCACCCAGTCCACAAGCTTTGGAACACAAGTCCCCCCTTTCCAACCACGGTGCAAAAGCAAAACCTTGAAAGGGGAATATCTTGACTTCTGCACCACCATGTCGGCACCAAAAGCACCCACCTGATGAAACTCCGACCTCACCTTATGATATGAACCTGTTGAGAAGCTACTTATTCTGCAAAACAAAGGTTTTTCCTTTCACCTTTCTGAAGGGTGAGGGCTGCAAGCACAAAACAGGTGCCAAGTGCCATCACATTTAAGACTCTACTGATCAGAGATGCCACTGACTCAGATCTGTCCTTCCTACCTCCACAGTCTGGTAGCCCTGCAACCCTCCCAAAAAACATTAAATTCCAACCCAAATTGCTCTGGGATTCAATGGTTCTGTGGAAAGGAAAGCCTGTTTATTGGGTCAGGCATTCACACTGAGCTCCTGCAAGATGCATCCTGCATCTCTTGCCCCCCCCATCTGTACACCTGTACGTCCATAAGCACATCTGTCTCTCCACACACAGACAGACAGACAGACACCCATCTTCACATTAACCCCAATCTCCTGGGCAGTTACCTGGCCCATTCTGGAGCTGTGAAAGAGTTGTCTCTTCAGACACATCCTAAATGCATCAGCTGGTTGCTTAAGTTGATTAGCAGGGGGCAGTTAAATTACTATGCTAATCCATGTATTCTCAGCACTGTTTCCTTGATATGGATATGTGTATATGCTTACTGGGAAGCCTTGATTAGTTCAAGCTTCAATGTGTCAAAGGCTCCAGATTCTTTCCAAAGAATAATTTTAGCTGTACTCACATCCCTAAAGTGTAGGAGCTGATTTGAAAAGGTACTTACCTCTACCATATGCTATTTTTCTTTAAACAATTTGCATTTCAAAGGGAATATGGCATTTATATTTGAATGAATATCAGTATGTTGCCAGAACTTGTCTCAAATGAGCAAAAAAAAAAAGATGCTGGTCTCCTATTGAACAAAAATGTTTTCATCTACCAAAGGAGCATCAAAGGAAGAGTTCCTCTTTCTAGCTCTAGACAGCTTTATTAAAACTATCTTTTCTGATGTTATAAAACACCCCGTTACGATCGCGCTTACAAAACGTTCAGACAATTAAGTTCTACAGAACCCTTCCAAATTAAGATTCGAGGTAATTTCCAGGTCTGGCCAACATTCAGCAGAAGTGCCCCTAAGAAGAGTGAGCGTGCTCACACAAAATCCAATTTATGTCCCCATTTATTCAGTATAAATCACTGCAAAGAGCAAGCTGAAGGCGAGACTGGGCACGAGAGGAATTAAGCCACACGTAGGCAATGAGAGGCTGAGAGAAACACACACCCTGGGGGCAGAACGTGCCTCCATTTCCCAAAAAGAAGGGAGCCACTTCGGCTCTTCCTACTCAAGTTATTTCCAAAACAACAGACCGTGAATTCACGCAAGGCCGGGTTGCAATCCTTAGAAATGTTATGGAAACAACAAAGATTTATACAAACATAGGGCACAAGGTGTTAGGCTTGGGATCTGGTCAGTAAAAGCTAAAAGATAAAGGTTCTATTACAAAAATTGCAATAAAATACGCAGTTGAGGTTAACATAAATGTTTTTTTACACACATGCAGTATCTTGTCCCACAAACCAGAAACCACTCTGGGATTTTCTTGTCACAGCACAGGTTACTTTAACAGACACATCACTCCAAGCCCTCACCAACTACACCAGCCAGCAGTCACACATGCAGAACCAGCACAGCTCACAACCAGACCCTAAGAAGCGAGGTGCAAGCGGCTCCCAACACACAAGTGATCTTCACTGCTGTGATTCCTCCCAAACAAATCAGAACTTATGTTCCTGAGTGCAACTGATATACTCGTGGATTTATGAGGCCAGCAGACACGGCAGGAGCCACGAAGCAGAACTGCATTTTTCTGCTGCACAGAAACACTGAATCAGACAAACTGCAGCCCCACTGCTACGCTTCCTCAATGGCCACGCTGTATTTGTGCCAAGCCCTTCATGTTCACGACTGAGTTTCTCTTCCAAAAAAAAAAAAGAATAAAGAAAGGAAATAAACCTCTTAAGGCCAGAGGGCTGCGCTCACCAGCTGTTAGAACTAATGAAAAATACATTAGAGTTGTGGGTCAGGAAATCCTGACTCTTGATATCAGAGGGTTAATTGTTTCAAATCACGTTGGGTCAATCTGTGTTGCAGGAATTCTGCCTATTCTTGAAATGCCCTCTAATTCAGCAGAAGGCACTGTCAAGTAGGTTAGATTGGCTCTTGGATGCCCATTCCCAACCAGCACTGCTCCCTCAAGTCTCTTCAGGCATTAGGGTGTACAGGGAAAGGGAGAGGCCCCGTTGCTGGCTGCAAAAAGATGGGAAGCATTCCCTTCCCCTGTCCTCTGCATCCCGCTCAGGAGTTAATTCCCAGAGTTGTGCAGAAATCTTTCCAGTGGACAAACCCTTCCTGAGAGGTGTCTGAGCATCCAAGCTGTACTTTCTGCCTCACCTCTAGATGTGACCCTTGGGACCAGGAAAACCTGGGGATGGTTCTTCTGTGTTCCTTCAGCTTGCTGCCTCAGCATCCACCTTTTACAGGAGGATCCTCCTCTCCTCACCCACCCTGGAGATTTCACGCTGCACAGAAATCTGGGAAAACAGCTTCTTCCAGCTCCTTTCCTCTCCAGCTGAGGAGAGCCAGCCTGGACTGGAAGGGAGGTACTGCCCAGGTGTCACAGCCCTGTCTGGCCACGTTCTCCGAAGACCACCCGTGGGACCAGGGCTCCAACTTCCACAGCCAGCTTCTCCAGTGGGTACATTCCCTGAAGCACTGCCACGGATTCTGTTTCAGCCTGAGAGCGCTGTGGAAACAGCACATTGTCTCTGCCCTGGGCTGATCAGGGATTTAAAAAAAATTCTTGAGCTTACTCGTACATGGAACAAGAAAGAGTGAGAGGGAGGGTTGGAACTAGATGATCCTTCAGGTCCCTTCCAACCCAAACCATCCTAAAGATCCTAAATCTTTCCCAACCACACTGGTTCCAGCGTTAAAACTCTCCTTCAACACGCTGACAATCATTTCCAGTACTGTAGCA